CTCAAAGATGAGCCATAACATATTTTATGAAAGATGATCAAAGAATGATGTGAACTGTGCAGTGATAGCCCACACTAAAGTTTCCTAGCTTTGTTTACCCCTGCCTTCCCTTTACCTGTTTGTTTGTTTCATTCCCCAGTTAAGACTGGGACATAACTATCAGCTTTTGGGGATAGGGAATGGCATTTACTAGATGTTTGTGCAGTATCTAGCACAATGCTGTCCCAACCTGATTAAAGTCTCTGAGTGCCACTACGATATAAATAGTAATACAAATTAAAAGAAGACTTAATTGTAACTATGCTTGAAAAATTACTCCTTTATTGGTTACTTTTAATCAAAGTTTGGGGTGTATGTGGATATTCCATTTGGGAGTAGGAATTGATGGTGATCTAGTATCTTCTTTGATGCAATCTTGTGAGCTAGTCTTCTTATGCTCATTTAAACGGGGATTAAAGTTTAATACATTAGAGTAATTCTTCAGTTGAATTCTGCAGGAAACTGGAGATTATCTGCCATGGAGTTCTAAACATAATTTTGTCTTTAAAAATCCCAATCCTACATCCATTACAATCAATGAGTACAGGAACAGAGCCTGTTTCTTGTCAAGCATTTATGTCCCTGATAGTTTCTTTATCAATAAAATTAGTATTGGCTTCATCATTATTAGTATTACTATTTATTTGAAGGAAGCCAATATAAGTAAATGATAAAAAAATAAAGTGGAAATTGGATCTTTGTGTTCATCCATGTTACCTTGCAGCCTTGTTATAGAAGGAACATTTTACCAGTGAGGATGATGTTATGTCTTGTATTTGCATCACCATCTCTGGATGCATGTAAAACTATTCAAGTGCTGATTCACTGAAGATGTGTTATCATAATTTATAACTACTTCTGAGGGCAAAAGAGTGAATAGGGATAACTTAGCATAGGAAAGACTGATAACAATGTAGAGTGCCAAAAATTAATTAATAAGTCAGTGATGAATGTAAAGTAGTCATGGAGATTGTGACAGGCTAATTTTCAGGCTTACTAATATAAATAAGAGAGAAGTTCAGGGACAAGAGGTGGCCAAAATTCTGGACTACACAGGCCACTAGGAAATCTGAGAAAGAAGAGGTTTCATATTCAGTGAAACTTCTCTTCCCAAGAAATGCATTTATGTCTTTGAAATATTTAACTGAAAAGAGGTGAAGCATAGTTATAAATTGTACTTGATCAGTTGATCTTTAAACTTTTCTGAAAGGTATGTGTGTATGTGTGTATATATATGAATAGTATTTACATAAAATTATTGTGACGATTAAGATTATAGATCGTTGACGTTCAAGTTAAAGAACTAATTCCTACCTGGTATATGCAAGGCCTGGGCTCAAGGGATGAAATCCTGGCCCTAATGAAGTCATTGTCATTGATTTCATTTGGTCCAGGATTTCACCCAAGATGTCGAAAGAAAAGTGAACAAAAAAGAGTAGAGATTCGAGAAATTAGTCTTAAGGTGCTCCAGAAAGGAGAGGTTTTAGTACAGGAAATCAATCACCAATGACTAAAAATAAGGGGGAGTATAAGAGAACGTAAGAAGAGGATTGGGAGATGCAAGTGGAAGGGGGGGGGGATAGATGGCACAGAAGTGATGGAGGTATTGCAAAATTCTGTTGAGTGGATAGGACAAGAGTGATTTCAGTTCCCAATTCTATCCTTAGCAAAGGAAGAGCCTGGAAAGACAAGGAGGCATGACAGGAAATTGGAAGGAATTGTGGCAATCTTAACACAAAGAGAGGCATTGAGGCTAAAGAGAGGCATTGAGAATAAAAAAAAAACCCACACACAGTGATTGAGCTGAGGAAAGAAAAAAGGAGTAGAAAGGGATAAGACAAGAAAAAGGAGCAGAGCAGACCAGGGGAATGTTTGAAGTGTGAGGGCTAGGAGTTTTAACAAAAATGATTGTGGAATGGAATTGGACAAAAGGGGAACTGAAGGATGAGGAAGGAGCAGGAGCAGATAGTGTCAAAATGATGAAGAATAAATGAGTCTGGGGAGAAGTGAGACCAGGAGAGCTGCCTCTGTATTCAGCATCAGGATATATTGAGGCACTTGCATTCAGGCAATCTATGGGCCAGATGGGAGGTGATTTATCGTGGTGTGTTTGTTCTCATGTCTTGTACAATGCCATTGCTTAACAAACATATAATAATTAATAAAATGAAATTACTGCTCCTGTGGGTTTGAGACTTCAGAATAAAGTTGCAGAATAGAAGAACAGTGAAAAGAGAACTTAGAACAAAGATGGCAGGCATAAAATATTGCTGTTGGAGGTTAGGAAACAGTTAAATTTACACTCAAAACAGACCGTGATTTTCAAGACTGTAAGTGGCTCAATTTTTTGAGTACTTTAGAGGAGTCTTAATTTGAAAAAGTACCGAGCACATTTCAGGTCCCGATAAGGTATCTCAATTTGGGCACCCCAGAATTGAGACAATTAACATCACAAGCCGTTTTTGACAATTTTGGCCTTTACTGTTTCCCAATACAAACTGCTACTGGAATTTAGGTAAATGAGATGTTAAAGGTGGTGCTGGCAATAAATTATGTGATCTGAGCATCTGTCATGACAGGACCAGATAGATGCAAGAGTGAAGGAAGAATTAATTCCGAGTCTTAGTAAAAGGCACTGAATAAAAATCTATTAGAGTACTGAGACGTGTTTTATACTTACATAATCGTGGATCAAGTGGTAACAGGAGAATTCCTACAACACTTTTTCAGAAGCTACAATCAATCACTTTTCCTGGTGACACAACAGGTGTACTAGTTTCTTGTGCTAATACCAATAATATCAGTGCCCTTCATTCTTAGGGTATGTCTACACTGCATTTTTTTTTCCAATTCTTTTTTTTTCGGAACAGGCTTTTCCAACATTTGGATTGTCTACACGGGGTCAAATGTGGGGAAAACGTCCTCTTTCAGAAGAGCCGAAAGAGCGCACCTGCTTTTTCGGAAACTGATCTGAAAAAGCGGATGTGTTCCCTTCAAAACTCTGTAGTGTAGTCATAGCCATTGTCACATTAGTCATATTATGGACATTTTTCTGCAAAACAAATTAAGATGGTGTTATGTTGTAGCAAGTTCCTTAAATTAGGCTCTCCTAGGATACTATCATGTAACAAAAATGACAAAATGAAGAAAATAAAATATTGAAAAAGCAGATGCACCCAGATACTATCGTCAGTGAACAAAGCTGAATCAAAGGTATAATCATTGGAGTCAAAGATATAATCAAGTATTAAATAAGTTACCCTCACTGGCTCACTTTAGACACACATGCACAAGTTCTTTTCAAAACACTATGATTAAATTTATTGTAGTATATATTAACCATATGTACAGACCTAGCAATTCCATGTCCCAGGTGGTTTGGCAGGAGACATACCCCCAAGCACTAGCAAAAAGAACTGTACAGGCAGTCCCCGAGTTACGCGGATCCGACTTACGTCGGATCCGCAGTTACAAACGGGGTTTGCTCCGCATCTCCCTGGTCTGCTGGTCTCCAACAGACCAGGGAGACGGGGAGAAAAGCCACAGAGCACACGGGCAGCTGACAGCCCAGATGCGCCGC